TGATTTCTTCTAATACTTCTTTTTTTAGTCTTTCATTCGTAAAGCAGTTTTTGTTAAATCTCCAAAGAGCTGGCTCTTTTCCTTTAGTTTCGAGAAGAAGAGTACACTCTACCAAAAGATGGTCTGAGTTTCCGAACTTTGTATTAATTTGTGAAATAAGATAAGCATTATTTTTATCAATAAAAATATAATCCAAATGTGTAGCCATTGTCCGATTGCCTTGTGTTTTTTGAAAAAAAGTATGAAAGGGTTTTGTTTTTGCAAAATCTGAGGAGTCTGTAAAGTTTCTAGTAAGGTTTAGGAGTTGTACTCTTGTTGGATCTCGCTGAGGTGTTGCTTCACTAGTTCTATCTTTTTCTGGATATAAATTAGTGTTGAAGTTACCTCCAATTATGTTGATAGCATTTTTATTGATCTGTGGAGACCATTTCTCAAAAAAAAGTTTTCTGTCATTTGGATTAGGAGTGGCATATATATTGGATATTTGGAATGTAAGATCTCTAAATTTGAATTAGTAGTAATAATTCTATTATCCATATCTGTTTCTATGGTTCTAAAAATTATATCTTTGTTGTCTGCGAGTATAGCTGTCTTGTTTGACCAGATTGAATCAAAGATTCACTGATTTTTAAGAAAGCTTTGTGTGTTCTTGTCATTCAAGTTTGTTTCTTGTAATATAATAAGATCCAGTTTGTAGAATTTCAAAAGAGTTAAAGTATTTCATTGTTTTTGCTAATTGTTTAGCCCTTTTACGTTAAGGCTAGCAATTTTGAATTTAAATTGTCCAATCATGTTAAAAGTAGAGTGGTACAGATTTTAGATCTGTAGATTCTGTGCTTCATTACGAGATTTTTTGTATAGAGCTGGCCTAGATGTTTCGATTTTCTGGCTTGCAAGGTCTTTTTTGCTTTTTTTGTCTTTTCTTTTTCTTTGTAAGATAAAAGTAAATCCATTATCAGGTTTTTCAGATTGAAATTGTAAAGTATCTTCATTTGTGATTTGCACTACTGGAGAGCTGTGAGATTTTTGTTCTTCTATTTCCATAAGTGGAATTGAGGTTGGATTTTTTATTACGGAAGCTTCATTGCTAGTGTTATTGATGAATTCATTAATTAGACCAGCTTGGTCATTTTCTATTGATATAGGATTACTCATTTCTTCATTTTCTTTGGCATCGATAGTATTACGAAGGATTTTCTCTGATTGGGGTTCTTCTATATCTACTTCTTCCATAGACTTGCTTTGTTCTTGCTGGTTTGTATTTATGTTTCCTAAATCTACTAATAGATGTTTTTCCTTTTTTTTGTTAGAAAGAAATTCTTTATATTGTCGACGAAGTTCAATAGCCTCCTTGTATTGTGTGCAGTTTTTTTTTTGATATGTCCTTCATTGTCGCAGAAGTAGCAAAGCTTGGGAGCTGCATGCCATTCTGTAGTAACTTTGTTATCAAGAATAATATAGAAACGAGGTATCTTTTTTTCTAAATCTGAATCTTCTGTAGTCTTGAAGGTAACAATCCACTGATCAGTTAGATAAGATGTGCCTTCTATTAACAATAGCTTAATTGAAGCAATTTTACCAAAGTTCTCGAAAGCAACTTTGATTCTTTTTGAAATAAAATCCTTGTCATCTAAAGGGACATTTTTGATCTTCATTGGCAAAAAGGATCTTCTAGTATCAACAGGAATATGTCTATAATATGTGTGATTAAAAATTTTAACACCTTTAGTAGCATAATATTTGAGCTTTTCCTCATTTGTAAAAATTAGTTCTAGGTGGGTACGAGATCCTCTATTGACATGTGGCTTAGCAGCGATTATGTCTCGTCCTGCTGTCTCATAAAGAGAAATCATAATTTTATTTAGAGAACCATTAAGGTTATGGATATCTAATATGAGTGCATTATCATTTTTAGACCTTATGCTGTTTTTTGGTGAGAATGAAGAGAAGGTTGATTGACTTCTCTTAACTTTTGCAAATAAGCTTGACCATGGTTTACTTAAGACTTCCTTGTGTTTGTTTATATCTAAGACATTAGCTTTTGCAGAAAACATGTTGTTTTGTTCAGGACATGATGCTGTTGTTGTTTTGTTTTCTTTATTATTTAGACTTTCAGAATGCGTCTCAGAGTTAGACACAATTGTACTGCTATCTTGGTTCTTCTTTTCTTTAAGAGCCCTTTTTTCATTTTCTAAAGTAACTTGCTTATCCCAACTAATATTATCTAAAGAGTCATCTTGCATAGAGTCAACAAAAACTTCTTGATTGGTTTCTGTTGCCATAGTATTTTCTTTAAGAAAAGATTTAATTTCTGTTTTTACTAGTTATTTTTTTGTCGAAAAGTTTGTTGCCAATTTAGTTTTCTTGTTTTTATAGACTTTTAAATTAAAAGTTTTGCGCTTTCTAGGAACAAGGGGAAGAGCCTCTGTTCTGCTACTGTTTTTAAAGTAAATAAGGCCCTGAGTAGCATGTATTTTGTCTTTTCAAAATTACTCTCTTTCCTAAACGTGATGGTCAGGAGAGAGAGATCGTCGATCTTTTATTTAATTTATTTTTATTATTTTTTCTATTTTGATTTTTTTTTTTGGTTACAAAACTCAAGCCTTGAGTTCTGTTAATTTTAATTATATTTTTTATAAATATTTATTTAAAGTTTTTTTAAAATATTATTTCTAATTAATTAATTTCTTTATTTTATATTTTATCTTTCTAATTTTTTTCTTATTACATAACTTGTTCTATTAGTTTATTTATATTTAAATTTTATTTATTTATTTATTCTATTTCTAATTTTTTTTATATTACAAAACTTGAGTATCGCTTTCTGTTAATTTGCTATATTTTAAATATTTATTAATTTTTTTTTTTTTAGAATTCATTACCAACTATTTAATGCACTTATTATACTTGACAAGATTATTCAATGTTAACAACCAAATTAAATGCATTCAGTTTTTAGCAAATAACATTGAAATATTATATGTAGATAATAGTTAAAAAAAAATTTCTTATCAAAAGTTGGGATCTAACAAAGATCTTAATTTTGCAAAAAAAATATCTTATGAGATAGATGATATACTAGAAGTAAGTCAGAATCCTTATAAAAATGAAAAGATTTATCAAGTCAAATATGAAGAACTTTATGAAGAAAGTAGTGATGAATATGGAGAAAGAAATAGTGATAAGCATAAAAAGAAAAATGATAATAGATATGAAGCAAATGAAGAAGAAAGTGACAAATATAATAATGGCAATAGAGATAATAAAAGTAAAAGATATTATAAAGATAATGGATATAACAAAGGCAATAAAAATAGATATAAGAATAATTATGCACAAACTTCTATTAAAAAGCAGCATATATCTATTAGTAATTATTTATTTATTTATTTTATTTATTTGTTTATTTTACTAAGTATTTTTTTATATTTTAGATCTTTCAAAATTTACTTCTAAAATAATTAAAAGTCAATATCTAAAACAATTTAAAGCTCAAGAAATTTACTCTAATATTGTTAGCAATTGCTTAATGTTGAGTTTAATTGCTTATAATT